CGAAACAAGGGTTTAATAACAGCTGGTTTACAGTGTCATGTCTTGTGAGAGTCGGTCAGGGTCTATAACCCCATCTCAGACTTTAAATTCAGTTTCATGTTTCCTTTCCTGTTTTTCTGTTTGGATACTTGGCACTGTGGGGTTTCCTTTCATGTCTCTGTATCTAAATGCTCCAACTTGCAGATAAATACATTTTCTTTCAAGGAAAGTCAAGCCAAATTTCCACATCTTTGGGAAATCATTTTAGGCCTTTGAAGTGTGGAAGCTGGCAGAAATGGTTGTTTAATTTCGAAATTAAATATGTAAAAACAGTAAACGGCTGATTGTGACCTTCTATGTGTTGCACAGATGTTTCCACTCAACTTTAAGTAGTTTACAAACCCTTAAAGAGCTCAGCGACGTCTTTTCACTGCAGTGATTGAGTAGTTAACTTTCTAACTACATGCATGAAAGATGGTAAATTTAACATTAAGTTGTTGAAATAAACTCAGATTCCTCTGTGTAGATTAAAAAAAATGATTTGAAAGGCGAATTGAATATTTGTAAGGGTTAAAGATGAAAGTGTCAGCAGCAGTAGAGTGAATTGCATACAGTTCAGTTGGTTTACGCCGTCCTGACTCAGAGTTTATGCAAAGCTCTGGAGTGATTTAGCTTTGTTAATTGAATTTGTGACAGAGCTTAAATGCTGCCTGCTTGCTCTTCCCTTTTTTTAAAAATTGGTCCTGCAACATGTTTAAATTGCTTTATCCGGTTTGTCTGCAGTATTTGAACTCAACTATCACATGACGTCACAATTCTGCATAAAAACAAAAATGGTTAAAATCAGAAAAGCTGAAATAAGCAAAGCTAAAACCTCTACAGATCATGTCTCAATGGTAAATATGAAGCTAGAGCTAATAAAACAGGTTATTACACCACACCTGTGATGATGGATGAACTGCATATACTACATATTTAAACAGGATTATGGATTCAAGTTAAAAGTTTTAAAAGTGTTCACATTATACTGAGCCATTTAAAGTATTACTGTAAGCTACAACACCTGTAAAAGTAAAGTTTTTTGTAAATTTGCCAGTTTTCTCATAATCTTTCCTTAGTTTTAATTTTTCTTTCAAAATCTACATTTTTGTCATAAATTAGTTTTTTTTTTCTAATGAAACTGCCTATTTTGTCATGGAAATGTTACATTTTTCCATATTTTTTTCCCTTTTGTCTCTGTTTAGCATGAGTATTTAACGAAGATTTTACTGCCAGCCCTTTAATTTTGCCCCTAAAATAAAAAATCAAAGATGTGCAAAGACTGTTTTCAGGGTAGAAAATAGGCTGTGCCATTTCCCTCATGTCTTTTCTTGTCCTGTCCTGTTCAGGAAATTCCTGTGGCTGTCAGGACTTGCCTCAATTTTCCTTTTTAACCAGAGCTTCCCAGCGATACCCTAAACAAGGCCTCCTCTGTGTCAGGGATCTCTCAAACAACGCTCGCTGCCTGCTAATGTTGGAAGCACCTTATTAGTCGCTGCACTGAACATCTACTTAGCTGGCTCCGGCCTGCACCAGGACAAGCTGCCAAAGGCTGGAAAACAAGCTCTGTCTGCGTTCTTTGAGATTGCAGCCAACAATAAAACACACAAACTTAGGTTTCGTTTTACTTTTGGAGAATCCCTGAAAGGAGCTTTCAGGGATTCTCTGAACTCATGTTGGTCTGTTTGTGGTCCTCTAACTGTAAACTCATACAGACAGGATGATAATCACCACTCTTTGATTGCCAGTCAGAATGGTTCCAGTAACTGTTTCTTATGTAAGGAGTGTTATTTGAAGGCCCACCCAGAGATGGAAAAAAACAAACTCTGTTGCTTAATACTTGTATTCGTTGACCTTGTTTTTATGGAAATTCTGACTTACTTTGGCACATTGTTGTGCATTAGAAGTCTTCACAGAGCTTTGTGAATTTAAATCAAGGCAGAAAATGTAATGTTTTTCTCTCTGCAGGCAATAATGTAATAAATAACTTTAATTGCGCCTTCAGAATCCATCACTTTTATGTTGTTTGCACATATATTAAGATTTCTGTCCGTCCGTCCAGATGGTTTTGTCTTCTTCTGCTTGCACACAGAAATCGGAAACACAGGAAAAAGTCTGAACTATCCTAAAGTTATAGCTGATGGCTTCCTGCAGTTAACAACAACTTAGCAGTTCATGGTCCGTAGAGACTGGAAACTAGCCAGTTTGTAGCTGAGGTTTGAACTCCTAACACAGGTCAACTGAAACTAGCTGGGTTTGAAAGAGAGCAAGGTAGCTTGTTTCAGCGTGAAACAGACCAAGCAAGCCTTTCACTACAGTTCAGCTAAAGCAGAAGTGAAAATATGTGAAGCTGAGCTGGGATGAAGGAGCAAAAAGTTCTGATGAGCAGATGAGCTCCTTGGTGTTTGCAGAGAAGACGACTGGCAGCGTGATATCAATAAATATCTCTTTATTAGTGCATTAATGTACATCGGAATGCAGAGATGGTCTCAGAGCCTTTGGAAATATTCTGACAGTATTGCACATTCCAGCATGGAGTTCGGTTCCTCGTCCGGGTCACACGATGAACGCCTCCTTCGCCCCCTGCTGAGGAGGAAACAGGAAACACCTGTGAGGTCACATTCGAGTGTTTGAGAGAACGAGGCCCACCCGATCTGTGACAATCTAAAATATCACCCTAAACTATCACAGCATTCAGGGTTAGGACCGAGGTCGCCATGATTAAGAAGTGTGTTATTGTGGAAAGCATGAAAGCACAGTTGTGTCATGTGTGGCTTGAGGAGATTTGGAGTAGGTAGCTGGGGTAAGGGAGGTGTGGGCGTTTCTGCTTTATTGTCACTGTCAGACGAGTATGAGGCTCCACAGACGCCATCCACGCCTGCGCCCTGCATGTGAGCTGTGGTTTCTCACAGAGAGAAAGTTCCAGGCTCTCCGCTGCATTTGAATCCAGCTGAACTAACTCTGCCTATGTTACTAGCTTTAAAGACGCTTTACAACAAAGAAGGAAGAAGAAGAAGAACAACAACAACAACAACAAAAATCAGGGCTGATGGAAGCATTTCGTTTTTCGTTTCACTTGCTTGGGACATGGAGGAAAGATGCTGAACTAAACGTAGCATTAGCTGAAGAGCTGCTTCAGTTGAAACCAGCCTGAATCCCTTATCCCTGGTTTCCCGTCACAGCTGCAGTGAAAGGAGATGAGTTTCTCTGCTCACAATGTGAAATTAGTCTGGCTTTAAAGTAAAATGAACAGTTATGAGAAGCTGATTTTAGAAGCAACAAAAATCAATGTTTGGGGGATGAAAAACCAAAATAAAGCCTGATCGTGACACAATAAATCATCCATTCATTTTCTTTGATTTATCCAGGTCCGGGCAGCCTAAGCAGAGAAGCCCAGATCTCCCTGTCCCCGGCCACCTCCTCCAGTTTATTTGGGGAAGCACTAAGGCGTTCCCAGGACAGCCCAAGAGATATAATCTCTCCAGCGTGTCCTGGCAAGAGGCATCCTTGTCAGATGCCCAAACCACTCTCAAATGACTGAACTCCTTACCCTCTCTCTAATGCCTGATCTGATCTCCTGCAGGAAATCTTTCTAAAGGTACGACATCGCCTACATAAGTAGAGAGATCCTTGGCGCTACTGATGCTCACGATGGTGCATTATGTGCTACTTGCTATGTGTTTGTGTTCCAGTGTCAGCCGACTGAAACATAACATGTTGGGCATTTTTTCCCTCCTGCATCCTCGCTCTTTGTTGTGGTCAGATTTCTATGGAAGCGGACAACAGTTTATACCAGTTTCCTCCACATGTATCTGCAACATCCTGGTTCCTTTGGTCACTACTCAATCCTTTTATCTCAATCATCTTGTTTTAATAACGATAAGTCAAATTAAAATTCAGTTTAATGCATAGCTTTGCTATCTGTAGGTTTCCTCTGCTTATTCACACTCACCTGCTGAAATCAGCAGCCTCAGTTTGACTATCACGACATGGATTCATCAGAAGAAATCCACTCAGTCGTTCATCATCGTTAATGAGATATTGATTCAAGCATCATAAACTGCTAAATGAGCACTAAGCACTTAGTGTAGATGCCAACAGGAGCCTCCACAGCTGTAGCCAGCAGCACTAATGGTTAGCAGACCCAGAGAATCTGAGCTGCTTACAACAGTTTATTTCCTGTCTAAGCAACAAATCTGCTCACTAACACACAAAATAAGTCCAGCATTCCCTAAGTATCCATTAAATGCCTTCAAATGTATTTCCATCACTATGTGGATGACAGGATAAAAAAATGCAGTTAAAGATTGCACAATGAGGATCTGCTGTTAAAACTGTATTTTCAAGATGCACAGATGTCTGTCGCTGAAGGTGAAACAAACCTTTTTGCTTTTGCAGACCACGTGCACTTAAATGTGCAGTAAAACATCTGTTTTTGACCAGGAAAAAAACTCATGTTTGGAAATGCACACATGCACATACAGTGAACTCCCGAACAGGTCTTTTCCTGCCTGATATATTCTGAGAATGGCGTCTTATCTTCACTTCCAGCTCATCCTGTTTTATTTCTTTACATTCCCCACTGTCAGCTGTTTACCTTGCTGAGTTCAGGAAAAAGCTCCAGCACGGCGATGTCCAGCAGGACGTACGTCATCTGAGGAAGAGAAATGATCAGGCCAGTTAGAGTCAGAGGGGAAACGTTAATTTCCTCTGACTGTTCATTGTGCCAGTAAGACAAAGTGAAAACATACAGGAAGTATGTCAATACTGAAAGTTAACATCCAAACACTCCTGATTTCAGATATTCATTTATCTTATAGTTCAGAAAACATGCATTTTAGTCTTTCTGCTCACTCAAACATCACCATTGGCAAGAGCAGCAAATTATCCCTGAGTCATAAACCAGTGATGACTCATTTTAATGTAAACTCAGCCTGAGAGGATCCCTGAGATATATTTTAGAGGTGTTTAAGTACAATGTGAGAGGGAAGAGCTGCACAGTGACTAGCTGAAAGCATTAAGCAAGTACTGGCGTGTGTGTGTGTGTGTGTGTGTGTTTTATAAAAGAACACTTCCAGTGAAAAAAAGGCACCGGACGTCAATAACCTCGTGTTTTCTGTTTTTACAGTGTGTGCATGTGTTTGCACTCATGTGCAAACCAACTACACAATGCAGCAGAGCTCGCAAGCAAACATGTAGAAGGACTCATCTGTTTAACAGATATCGAAAAATCCAACATGAATGCACAGAAATTTGCATTGCTGCAGTGGTCGTTTAACACGTTTACAGCATTTACACTGGAAGAAAAGTGTGATTAACTGAAGCTCAGATTCAGGACTGCTCACAGGAACTTAAAAACTTTCGTGGACTGACAGGGAATTAAGGGAAACCTTCACATGTAAGTGAAAAAGCTGGGACCAGTAAACATGTAAATCAGGACAGCTGTGAGCACAGCCTACACAGGCTGCAGGTCTGAAGTCAATCTGAATAAACTTCCCACCCCACTCCTTTAGAACCACCTGATTTACAGTAACAGTGACATGTTGAATTAATCCATGTAAGATTTTACCTTCGTACTATGAATGTTTTCACAGTTACAGCCCCTCTAAGTTACTTGAGTGGGTCCAAACGTGGCGCTTGCCAACATTTCTGAGTATAAGAGCCAGCGACACAAAGTATATTTTCTAACACAGTGGTTTTAAACACATTCTGTTAGTTAGTGTCTTTAAATTCTTCTCTGATAGGATGAAGGTCTGCTTGCATCAGAGTAATCAAGCTATCAAACAATTTCTACACTTTTCTACAAAGTGAAAGCGCTTAGTGCAAGGCGTCATGCATAGGGATGGGTATCGTTTAAGTTTTATCCGATACCGGTGCCAAATCGGTACTTTTGAAACGGTGCTTAAAGAATGGAGAACACAAACTTTGTCCAAAAACCTCTTATGTTTATATTTTTAGCAGCCTCTTTTTTTCTGCAAAATGATAAGAACATTGCCCCACGCACGGGGCGATCCGTGCTAACTCGCTAATGAAGATTTACCACACACGCAGTAGATGTGCTCGGCTTTTTAAAAAAAAACACTATGCGTCGCCAGGTGTTTCATCAGATTCGAGGTGTTACCTCCTTTGCACAGTATCAGCTTAAAGCACTTGTTGCAGGCTGCTGAGTTTGCATCTTTTGCTGTGAAGTACAGCCAGACTTTTGACCACTTTGCCTTGGGCATTTTTAATCTGTAGCTCTGCTCTAAAAGAACATATGTACCTGGGCCCGCCTACTATCCTTGGAAAGGTAAAATGATTGGCTAGAATCCAAAGTGTATGACATCTCAGGGGGGAAAAAAGCACCGAAATGTGCGCTGCTGTTCGGTCTGGTTACTGGCGTTTATGTCAGAACCAGATATCGGTACCCATCCCTAGTCATGCATCGACATAGACGGCAACCACATAATGACCACCATCAACTGTGGCACTTGTGGTGTCTCAGCAAACTAGACTTTGACTTTAAACCTGCTTTTAAATTAAGCTTAAATGTGTCTTTCAGGCCTGAGAATGTCACATGGACATCCCCTGTACCTATAAAAGCCACCAGAGCTCAAAAATATCAGAAATACCAGAAAAATAGGCCTCACCTGATGCTAATGGAAAATGCACCCTAACATTACATTACACATCACCGTTGAACCTGCCTGAACATACAGGAAGCTCTCGTAAATGCTGAGCTGAACCGTGGATTAGGAGAACGACTGTTTACCTGCTTGTTGAGCAACGGCTGCTGAAAACTGTCAAACAGCAGCTGGATACCTTCATACTTCGACTCCTCGCCGATGCACTTCACAACAAAGTCTGAAATCGAAGCACATCGTCCAACTTTATTAAGCCATGGGTATGTGAAGCATGCAGATTTATTGAGTTTGACCCGAAACCTGTTAAAAACCACACAGCAAAGACCAGGACTGTTTGTCTATAAGATCAGAGTTGGAGGGTTGGAGGACAGTCGGCAGAGACGCTCTTCGAACTGCTAAGCCCTTTGTGACTGTGTGTTTTATGAAGTGCTAGGCTAATACAAATTATTCATATTATTACACTGGAAACTCTTGTCTGAGCAGAGCAACCTGGAACTGCAGTCCAGAACTTTAAATGTAAGAAAGAAAATACTCAAATCGATAACAGGAAGGAGATAAAGTGGCGCTCTCGTTTCCAGGTTGTAGTTAAAGCAGCTACGTTCTGTGCAGGAATCCAGCTGTAAGAAAACCTCTGTGTCTTTAAAAGCAGATAGATCACTTCCGTAGCGTGAATGACAAAAGGAAAAGCATCTCGGACAATGCCAGTGTTTAAACTGGGACTTTAGATCCAGTATGACCGGCAAACTGGTAAGTGAGAACACCTCAAAGGTCTTGTGGTTTCATTTCCACTTTTACTTTTAAAGTCACAGATCAAAAGAAACTGCCTGCACGTTCACAGCTAACTAAATGTTATTATCCCCCTTTAAATCAGATTTGTGACGTGTTTAAAACAGGCTGTGAGATGTTCACTGGCACTTCAGAGGAGTCTGATTTTAACACGCATACAGTAACATACTTTATTATCTTTATTGATGTTCTGATATGATAGGGTATACTGCGATGTTGTGTTGATATGCACAGCCATTATTAATTATAATGTCTCCGAGTGAGCAGATAAACTTTCAGCACAGCTTCAGGTCAGAGTTTTGAAGCTGGAAGTTCAGGATGTGACGTCATAAACCTGCGTGACCTGGTCTGCAGAGACAGCCTCACTGAATACTTCAACGTGAAACATACTAGAAGATGATTATTGATTATTAATGATTACTGTGACTGAACTGAAACCCGACCTGGCAGGTACTTCATCATCTCCTCAAACGTCTGCTTGGCTCTGGCTTGTTTGGCCTCTGCTGTTCGTTCCTCGCTGCTTTCACAGAAGACGGCGTCTGCAGAAATGAACAGGAACAAATCACAGAGTTAATGTTTCCTCCTTTGTTTTTGGAAACTGAAACATCTGCACAGAAGCAGAAATTTTCTGTAGGGTCACACAAGATGAATCATCTTCAAAAACAAGGTTTTTTGTCCAGTTGAAAGGTGCTTCGTTCTCTGCATCAACACATTTAAACATCGCTGCTGATCACGTGTGCCGAGTGCTCCGATTTCACCTCAGCTGAAGATTTGTTAAGAAGTTCAGTGGCATCAACCGAACGTACTGCCTAGAGGCAGTGGGTCTGGTGAGGAATTGACAATTCCCAGAAATTCAAGGAATCTGAAAAACTTCCTGGCAGGAATGTAATGATGGCAGCATGCTGGAAGCTGTTTGGGCACACCTGAGGAGATCTGCCAAACCTAAATCAGATGCAGCTTCTGCGATTTATGCGCAGTTACAACCTTCTCTCTGATTAGCCTTTTGAGCCCTTCGAAGGATGAGGAAGGATAAAAGGAATCATTCTGGCAATATAAACTGCAGGTTTATATTGCTGACAGGATTCAGATCTGCATTTTTATGATTTGAATGTTAATAAAACACTCAGACTCTCTCTTTTCTTTCCTGTTCACTCACTGTTGACTCAAATCCTGAGCTCGATAAGTTTAACTCCTACCAGCTCAGAGCAAGGAACAGCTATTGTGGTGATGCAGAAGCTTAAAATGATGCTCAGGTTGAGTCGTGAGGCTTTTTTTGTGTAACATTTAAAAAGTAAGTAAAGACCTTTCCACATACTGACGCTTCTTTTGGTGTCATAAACAATCCGAACACCCTGCAAATCATCTTAAAAGCAGCGATACTGAGGTCGGAAATAAGAAAAGACTTTATCGGTGCGGGTGGCGTCCTACCTCGGAGCTGGGTGATGAGGGAGACCACGCGGTGCTCCTGAAGGATCTGCTCCAGTTTCAACTGCATGTACTGATCCATGTAGGCTTCGAATGTGCTCTTCAACAAGATCCTCCCAGCAGACAGAATGTGATGCAGCCAGTCCGGCATGCGAAATACCACTCGGCCTGCGAGTTCAAACACCAAGACGGATACAGGCAGTCAGGCCCGAATCAGTTCAAGAAACACAGATCGAAACTGCGCATACCAGCTAGCTCCTGTGTTCACTGAGATATTCAACATCTCTTTATCTCAGTCGGTGATCCCCACATGCTTCAAAGAGTCCATCATTGTTCCTGTCCCGAAGAAACCCCACCCTGCTTCTCTCAATGATTATCGCCCTGTAGCCCTCACCTCAGTAGTGATGAAGTGCTTTGAACGCCTGGTCAGAGACTTCATCATTTCTTCACTACCAGACACACTGGACCCACTACAGTTCGCTTACCGTCCAAATCGTTCCACAGACGATGCCATCTCTCATCTCCTCCACACATCACTTACTCACTTGGACACTAGAAGGGGGAATTATGTTAAAATGCTCTTTATAGACTACAGCTCTGCATTTAATACCATAATTCCCTCCACACTCACCACCAAGCTGGAGCATCTGGGACTCAGCTCATCTATGTGTCAGTGGATCTCCAACTTCCTAACTCCACAGGCAGTAAGGATGGGCGGACATGTCTCAGCCTCCACCACTCTCAGCACTGGAGCCCCCCAGGGGTGTGTTCTGAGCCCC